TTATTCCCTATGAGAATGCAGGCTAGATCAAGTCATGAGCCCCATGAACAGGTAGCCTCAGGATGTACTCTGAGGATCATGCTACTGGTTAATAATGAAAAACACTAATGAAATAAGGACCTAGTTCTGTAACATGGGCATTTTTTAAATGCTAACTTTGGGAGAGTTCACTGTAGCTAAATGGGGCAAATAAATAATATTGGAGGTTTAGAAAAGAATCCATGGCCCGAGATAAATGACTGTGCCTTTCTGTTTCATATTGTTGGTGATACCAGCACACAATTGGGCAGCATATTGGGATTCCCCCATTTTCAAAAGCTATAGGTCATTCCCTCTGCATGGAATTAGAATCAGCAGCTTGACTTAGGTAGAGAGCTGACAAGCTATGTCCCCTCTCACCCCTCAGTGCCACTAATTTTGGGAAAACCCTTACGTGAGCTACTAGATGCCAGATAAATATTTTAAAACTTACCCTAGGTATCTGAGAGGGAGGACCAGTTAGTAACAAAACATCAGTCTGAGTGTTTAGATAGTCATACAGTGCTTGACAAATGGCACATGTGAACCAACTGGGAGGGAGACCTTGCAAGGGTTTTTGTTTTTGTTTTTGTTTTTAGATTGACTTTCAAATACCAATTGATTAGAAAAAAATTACTTGTATCAACTTTATCATCTCATCCCAAAGCCTCATAGATCCTCAGCAATAGCTTTGGTTAGAATGCTCAGTCATAGGTGAGTGGCACAAAAATTAGAAGTTTTTCATCACTGTCCACTGATTTGTGATCATTTTCCTGAATAATACTTTTCAGAGGACTGAGAGGTATACCCCAACAATCTTGTATGAGTGTGCATCTCATTGGTTGGGTATGAATGGTTTGGTCCTGGGCCTTTCGTTAGTTCAGTAGAGGCCTAGATCTATCTATCTGTTTATTTAAACAGTGCCTATCACCAAGGTATCTCGGATATTAAGGTCTTGAGTTATCTTGCTCTTAAATTCTTCAGGTACTAATAAATGCAATGGCCATTAGGGTCAGGGAGTAAAGAAGAGTTTGCAGTTTCTGGTTTTCAGATGTGGAGATATGTTTTAATGGGTAGGTGGCTTGTCATGACAGAAACACAGTCTACATAGATTGCGAAATGCCTTATAGATCATCTTTTCAGAGTGATAAGATTAAAAAAAAGGAACAGAAACAGATACTACTTTGCTGTAAAAAGTATGGTTATTAAAACATTCAGATTGATATTCTATCTCTATCTTGATATATGCATATCTCCACACCTGTATCTCGATCTCTGTCATTGAATAAGGGTTTTTATTATAGGAGAGCCCTCAGATAAAGATACTTATTTCTGCTGTTAAAGTTCACTGAGTAAACAAACCAATAGAAATGTGTTGTCATCAAATACGGGAACAAGAAGTCTAAACACTAAATCCATCTGTGTAGGATCTGTATCACTTCTGTGGCTTGGCTGTGGTTTGGTTCCTCAAAGACTCAAGTGCTGGAGGCTTAGTTAATGGATGTGGTGGTGTGGAGCTAGTGGAGCCTTAAGGGATGGGCTAATGCAAGGTAATTAGGCCACTGGGGGATGCTGCTGTCAGAAGGAATACTGGTCTTGCAAAGTGAGTGAGTTCTCATGAGAGTGAGTGGTTACAAAAGGAAGCTGCCCTAACACAAGGCCCCTTTTGTAAAATATCTTCCCCTTTCTCCACCATGTTTTAACTTTGTCACAAGGGACATAACCAGAGGACAAACAGATACATCACCTGATATTAGATGCTCAGCCTTCAAAACTGAGCTAAATAGACTTCTTTTCTTTATAAAAACATAGATTCAGGTATTTTTGTTACAGCAACAGATAACATTAAACACAATTGCCTATTCTGTTACACTGCAGCTTAGAACAAGAGTTACCTGTATTTTCCCAAGTTCTGGTGAGAAGATTTTAAAAAAAGGTTTTTTAATTTTTTGTTTTATGTATATGAGTATATTGTCTACATAGATGTAAGTGCACCCTTGCATTCAATCCATGTGGAGGCCAAAAGAGAGCATTAGATCCCCTAGAACTGGAGTTATGGACAGTTGTTAGCTGCCATGTGGGTGCCAGGAATTGAACCCAGGTCCTCTGCAAGAGCAGCTAGTGCTCTTAACCATGGAACCATCTATATCTCTTGCCTTGAGAAGATTTATTTTAACTTGTCAACCATTTAACTTAATCTGCATGTGCAAATCCAAGATACGTGAAGGGAAAGTTAAGCCCATGGTACTTATTGGTTCTACTCAGAACACAAGGATACAATCTCGCAGTGAAGGGAAGATTCCTTATAGGTGCCATGATATCACCAAACTTAGCCTTCTATCTTTTCAATAATTCAGGTCATAGGCAGGAATGAATCAACTAGGGCAGAGACTCCCAAATGGTTCAAAGGAAAAACTCAACAATTCTCCAACAAATGAACAAATGTGAACTAATTTTGAGACATCCAGTCCTATAGGAACCTACAGCACTGATGCTCCTGGCTAATGATCTGAGACACTTGAGGGCCATAATATGGTCCTCAAGGGACTTTCCACATGCATAAAACCACCATTCCCAAACCTCTGCCTCACCTGGAAGGAAAGGTGGGGGCTTAAATAGCTTCCTCTTTGGGAAGGTTGTTAGTGACTGCTTAGAACATTCCATGAATCTCATTCAGAGCCCAGCAACATTCCAGAAATCTAGTGAGGCTATAAAAATGGTACATTTGTCAGATGCCTGTTCTGTGCAGCATTTGAACACAGTCTGCACATGCCTTGTGTAGGAAATATGGACTAGTGTGAAGATACTTTTGTTTCTTTTCAAAATTTTTTCTTTTTAAGAACAAATTCACCAGCACAGCAAATGACATTGGTGCAATAGTGGCACTTTATTTCTTGGGGGTAATCCACAGCTAACTAATTTGTACTTAAAGCTCACTCAGTGGGAGGAAACTCTTGTGTAGTACTGTAAACCTGGCCAAACACATAGCTGGAGAGGTCATAGGTCTTAGAGAAAACTCCAAGGCTGTCATATCTCGAGACAAATGTAATTTCTTACTATGTGCAAAATATGGATCCTTAAATTTATAGACAAGTATCCCAGTCACCACCCATCAAAAAAGCTTCTTTTTCAAGAGACAGAGAATTACAGAGTTCCACAAGTGATCGCACACACAGATTGTCTGTGAACTGCCCAAGTCTAAGTGGCACATTAAGGATGCAACCTCTGCACCTAAAGCTCACGGAGGAATGAAGAGAAACCTAATGCGAGAACACTATGCATCTTTCAACTCTCATCAATGAAGCTCCCTCGGGCACAGAGGGCCGGGAACGCAAAAGGTCACACATGGCCAAAATGCAGAGAATAAGAGTCTGCAGAGTGTGGGCCCTCGGACAGGACTCCTATATTAAAATCCACCCACCCAGGGCTCAGGCACCATTGTGGAAGCGGGGGAGGAAAGATTGTAAGAGCCAGGGAGAAGGTGCATGACCATATGGAAACAGTCCTACAGGCACCTGGGACCCTTCTCATACAAATTTACAGCAATGGTGACAGCATGTAAAAGACCCATGCAAACTTAAGCAGACAAAAACCCAGCACAAAACTGTGGAAATGAACAGCAGGCCCCAATCTTAGTCAAAGAATTATTGGCAGCTGATTACTGCTGGGTGAGGAAAAGATGGTCTTCTTAAAGGGCGGGGGGAATGCTATATAAGCTGACTAGATCCCAGTGGATGAACTTGCACTGAGGGACATCTGGGGACACTAACTTTACACGATTGGTCTTAACACAAATGACAGAATGTATGAACTCCAGTGGGAGGGTTATGGGAAAGTACCGAAGGGGAAGGGGGTATAAAGATGATTTTATGTATGAAATACGCAAAAATTCAATTAAAAAAAAATAACAGAGTCACCCATTGAGGTTCCAGGAACAATTCACTCAAGAACCATTGGGCTCTTTGCAGAACACAGCCTATCTTGGGGTCAATGCTCAATAATGCCTTCTGATAATGATATCATTATCTTAGTTAAATAATAATCAAGCATAAGCATGATCTCATAAATACTCATCCAGAGCCATGTCTGTTATCCTTGACCTTTTCACCCATCTTGGACTCAGACTGCAGGGAAATCTTGCCATCTTAAAGTTGCTCTGACTTGGATGGTTTCAGGCCTCCAATAAGCCTGAACACAATTGTGTACCTGTCGTGGGAACCGTATTGGAGGGGTTCTTGTCAGGACAATTGAATTCTGATCCTTCTCTCATCTGAAATGAGACACACAGAGAAAGAGGAAAAAATGAATGCATCTTACTAATAGAGCCTGGGTGAAAAGTGGGCCTCTATTTTAGAAAATATCACTTACAATAAAAATATGATTAAAACTTTGGTATCTTTTAAGAGCACCCCTTCTCCTTTACCGTTGTAGCTCGCAGCCCATGGCACATTGCTCAAATCTGTCCTTTCCTCTCCAGGCTGCTTCCTTCATCTGAGCTCAAGTCTTTGATGTTTTTTTGCCTGTAAGCTGGCAGCCCTCAACAGTAGCGCTGCCTTCAGGCTAGAAAGCCTCATCCCCAGTCTCCTCTCTCCACCGACAATTGTGTCTCTCAACAGGATATAACTATGCTCCCCTCCTGCCAAAATTCTCAGTTAAGCCAGACATTTCTGTTTGTGCTGTTTATTATCCTGTTCCCATCTACTGACCATAGATGATCAATGCTATTTGCTCTTTGAACAAAAAAATGACTGCCTTGCATCAACCTAGGCATAAAATCCATTGTTGCTTACACGGACTGATTCAAAGCTTCTTTGGCCAAAGTCCCCCAGTCTCCCATACCTCTGAGCCTTTGCTGAAGCCATCACCCCCACTCTCCCTTTGCTCTCTTCCATTCTATCACCCTTCCATCCTCCCGGCTCAACTTTAGACACCTGAGAGCATGAGTGCCCTTACGAAAGTTTTAACTTTCTGAGTTGTTTTTTCCTTCTCTGTGTTCCCAGTATACCCAAGGAAAATTTTAACTCTGGCTGTTATTATATTGCCCATAATTACTGGTTAACATATCTGCTTTTCTAATAAACTATGTTCTTTTGGAGAAGCAATGTATTTTATTTATATTTTAATCTTCCATGCCTAAAATCCATCTATCCATCTACTTATTTACCTAACAAATAGTTATTGGGCACTGACCCTGAATCCTTGCCCTCACTGAGCTTGTGTTCTAGAGGTACATGGGAGAGACTTAAGTGTATCCAACAACTCCAATACTTATATGAAACTTACAACATGGCAGATAAGTCCCTCAGATCTGTTAATTTAATGCAGTTTCATAACTGTGATAAGACTATTACTGCCACTACTTTCCAAATTAAAGACCAAAGGTATGGAAAGAATAAGTACCTTGTTTACCAACACAGGGCCAAGATATGGAAGAATCTGGATTTGAACCCAACCAGAGCCAGGGAGTCCCCCTCACTATGCCATGCTTCCATCTAGATGCCTCTATAATATTAGAAAGTATGGGGCCCACTGATAACTCAAGAGTCTTTCACATTGGGTGTCTTAGGGTCTCTTAGGCTACCAATGTAGTCCTCACCACTTGAAGCAAATGTTATCCTTTTTCACAAAGGACCAAATTCAACCCAATCTACCTTTGTCCCTGGTTCTCTGAAAACAAAGACATCAACCTTTAAGTGTTTTGAGTCTCTGTCTCTCTCTGTCTGTCTCTCTCATCTGTCTGTCTTTTTGAGACAGGGTCTCCCTGTAACCTCAACTGGCCTGGAGCTCATTGTGTAGACCAAGATGGCCTTGAACTCATAGTGATCCATCTGCCTCTACCTCCAGAGTACTGGAACTAAAGGCATGCGCCACCACACCCAGCTTGGTTTGAGTCTCTTGAGGAGTTCAAAGTACCCTATCTAATCTTAGCAGGTTGTATCAGAAAGTAATTCCGATAAGCCAGAGGTAGAAATGAGTGAGAAGGAGCAGTGTGGGCATGGACTCATTTCTAAGGCCTTTTGGTCCCCAAGCTGCCTGGTTCTCAACCTCACCTCATTTGTCTACTGCTTTTTTTTTTTTTTCCTTCTCTCTTCTGATTAAGACCTTGGATGAGTAGCTTCCAAGTACCAAAGGAACACCACACACTTGAGATCCTTTACCCTCCTGGAGCCTGCCCTGGCTGAATTTCAGATGGTTGCAGCCCCCACAGCTCTGTCCCCCTCACTGTGCTCAGAGGCAAATGTACTTTCAGGGCATAGAGAGCCATGTGGAAGGTTGCAAAGACTCAGCCAGGGGTTCATCTGAATGTCTGTCAGAAGACTTTCCTTACCTGAAGCCGCCCTAGGGGTTTCAGCAGTTTGGGCTGGTAGTTGCTGTTTTTATAGGTGAACAGATAGGGACTATCCTGCAGAGAAAGATAACATGGAACCATGACCCAGAGATCTTGATCCCTTAATAATCAAATTTGCCATCAGTGATACTTTTGGCTAAACTGGAGCTTTCATATTGAAAGATTTCAAATGGGGGTTCAAGAGGGACACTGGGGAGTAAGGAGTTTATTGGAAAAGTTATTAATGCTGTGGACAGAGGCAACAGCATGGTAGGGTTCTGAGGAGAGTTCAGGTGCCAGCACTAGAGACAGACAGCATGGTGGGAGCTCTGAGACAGGAACTAGAGCACATTTTGCAGAACTGGGAGTCTCCTCCTGCACCTTTCTGAGCATGGGGGAGCTTTCACAGTACTATCCTGCAGCCAAGCTCTATGATTCCCAGGCAGGAGGCAGGGAAGGGGATGGGGAACATGACATGTGGCGACTAATACTCCCTTTGATACACTCACTTTCCAGGTGAGAGATCCTGACCCCCAGGAGTCTGTTACCTAGGGTCTCACAGTGTCTCAGTAGAAAAGGCTGCTATAGATATCGTGACCCGAGGAACAGCTGGGTTCTAACATTACAGTCTTATACAGATCACCCCTTCAATGACAGCTAAACCTTTCCTTTGTCCCCCTTTCTGCTCACTGGTTCCCTGAAAATCCTATTGAGGCTATGAAATGGTCCATTTGTAAGCCAGAATCTCTGATGCTCTCTACCCTGGAGGTTTGTGTCCCTCAGCTAAGAACACATCTCAACAAAAAGAAGACTTCTTTTTAAGTTTCTTGGCCTCCTCAGCATAGAAGAATACAAGGTGAATTATTGTTTCTTATTTCCTAGATACAATAAACTTCTTAATTCACCAATAAGGCCAGAAATTTGACTAGCATTGCATGATAGAAGGAATTCCAATCATTAACTTTCAGTTATTCGCTCACCTGTGCATTTGGCAACATTAACTATATGTCTATTACATGTTGGGTACACATTTAAGACAACAGCCTTCAAGACTCCTTAGGTACTCATCAATCATAACAACTCCTTTGAGCAAGGGCTAGAAGTGGAATCTGGGGCATAAGGCCAAGGTGCCAGAGAAGGCGAGTAGGACCAGCACTGGAGGCCAGTTGAGCTGTGACTTCGACAAGTATGGAGGGTCTTCCCTCTGCTGATTCTGCTCTCATGGTCCACGGTAATAAACCTTAGGACAGCCACATGTACAATCTGTACCCAGGCCCAGAACAACAAACCCAAGACTCTCAGGTGCCCAACATCTCATCAGTAAGATCCCATTCCTCGGCTAAGTCCACGTGGCCACCCACCTCTCTCTTCAGCACAACTCAGTCCCTCTTACCTGAGAGGGACATTTTATTGTCCTCCTCTCTGTTGCATCAAATGGCTCATTTTTGCGTCCTGCTGGTTCCATCTAGAAAAGAAGGTAACACTTAGAAAACAGCAGCTTCCTGCAGATAGCAACCTTCCACGGAACCCCTGAGGTTCATTCAACAGGATCAGCAGCCTCTCAGGGACATTTCCAGATCTGTCCTAGAGCTACCAACTCAGAAGCTCAGGCCTCAGTGTGGGGGCGCAGTCCTCAGTGAGGTGCATCCCACAAACACCCTGGTGATTCTGCAACACTCTCAAGTTTTCAGACCACTGTGTGAGAATTAGTAGGATTTTGACATTGATAGGACTTTCTGGTCCACCTCTCTCAATAGCACAGGAAGAGAAACTGAACATGGTATAGAGTATGGGTCCAGGGCAGACTGACACTGGTGTTCTGAATCCAACCAGATATCTTGTAGGGTCATACAACTTGATTACCCCCAGGCTAGTGACCATACTTGGCATCTTGTCTTCATCTTCAGTGCCCAGCTCTTGGCTATCTCACTGATGATGTTTCCCTTGGAAAGGAAAGTAAGTACAGCGAGAAAGGGCAAGCCCATGGAGTGTGTAGAAAACATGTGTCCTTTCTCTGTCCTCCTCCTGTCCTCCCCTTTCCTATAGGTATAATCCATAAGCACATAAACCCAAGACCTATAAAGAACAAAACTCTCTGAATTAAGGTTTACACAGCTTCACATGGCCTGCGTCAAATATACTCCAGTCTCTAACTGGGCTGCAGAGATGGAGTGACAGGGAACACACTCAGCCCTCACACTCACAGACAATGCAGCTGAAATGAATGGCACCATGATGACCATGGAGGCCACCTAACAGACACATGGTGTTGGGTGCAGCAGTGGGCAGGGTCATCAGGATGGAACTTTGGCAGAAGCATTGGAGAAAGAGGAATGAAGGCATTGGAGAATTAGATAAAGGGTTTTTTTCTCTCAGCACTAGGGATCAAACCCAGGGCCTTACATATGATAGGTAACTGCCCTGCTATTGATTCACATCCCCAGACTAAAGGGAAGATATTTTTAAAAGTAGTTCTTACACCGGGCGTGGTGGCACATGCCTTTAATCCCAGCACTTCGGAGACAGAGGCAGGTGGATCTCTGTGAGTTCAAAGCAAGCCTGGTCTACATAGTGAGTTCCAGGCCAGCTGGGGCTACAGGAAGACCCTGTCTCAAAAAGACAACAACAACAACAAAAATTCTTCTTGCAAGCTGACGGTGGCCACACAGTTGGTAGAGTCCTTACCCAGTATGCATGAAGCCCTGGGTTTGATCCCTAGCACTGAGTGTGGTGATACATGCCTACAACTCCAGCAGTCCACAGGTAGAGGTAGGAGGTTCAGAAGCTCAAGGTTATTATTGAGTACTTAGAAATTCAAGGCCAGCCTGGGCTACAGGTTAAAAAAATGCTTAAAAAGGAAACTGTAGTGATGTAGAAAGACCACAGGTGTCTTTTGAATATTTTTTTTCTACTGTTTGGGAGTCCCGTGTTTCGCTCACAGCCCTGCTGCCCCCAGCACTAGGCTCTGGTGGCAGCTTTGTCTCTTATTCCTCCTTATGAGAACTCTGATAAGGATGCAAGAGGTTACTGGGGGGACACCCTGTCCAGCTGTCACTGATTCTGCATAAACTATGAAGACTACTTTAGACTCTCCCACAAGACCTGCTCCATCTGTGCCCCAGACACCTCAGAGTCCGATGGAACTTTACCAGGCTTGGGGGCTTGTTCTATCCCAATAAAAGGAGAGTCAGATAAGGAGGTATAATTATTGTCACAACTGGAGGAGTGGCAGCCCTGTGGCTGCAGGCCTTGGGGGAGGAACTGGGCTGCCCATGTTCCTTTTGGTTTTATTCTGATGGTGCCCTTTCTTAGAACCATGACTCAGGCAGTCAAAGCTCCTAAAAGAGGGAGTACTCAGGGGGCCAGGCTAAAGGCCCAGGTGTTCATCTGTATTGCTTTCTTTTCTTCAATCCTTCAAGAATGTCAGAATCCAGAAGAGAATCTGGAAACAACCACACCTGAAACATTCTGACTGAATACAACAGAGCCTATTTTCCAAGGACCTCAAAGGTTTATAGGTTTGTCCAGTGAATCTGCTTCTGTTAAGAACCTTATCCTAACCCAGGTATGGTGGTGCATGTCTGTCATCTCAACACCTGAGAGGCTGAGACAGGAGGATTGCTTGAGTTTGAGGACAGCCTGGGTACAGAATGAGACCTTGTCTCAAAAGGCCACAGCCACAACAACAAACAGTATCCAAATGTCCCTGCATCAATCACCTGCATCTGCCTTATTCTCATCAGTCTTGTACCTGCTCTGAGCCTGCGTCCTCAGAAAAGACAGAAAATGGCCCCGTTATTTCAAATAATCGTCCTTTCTCCTGCAGCCCTGTGCTGTACATATATGTACTGCTTTTTCACATTGGGGGGGCATCTGGTGCTGGTCTAGCCTGTGCTTTTCTCCATCTTCTGGTCCCTTAATGCTCCATCTCCTCCACTTTGCCTCTCTATGGAAACAGCTGGGTTATGGAATGAATGAGGGTGGCTTTAATGAAAAATTCTCTCTGGGGGTTGGTGAAAGGACTCAGTAGGTAAAGGTGCTTGCCACCAAGCCTGGCAACCTGTGTCCTGAAAGTTGTCCTCTGACCTTCACATGTACACTGTGGCACAGTGTTTCCCCCTCCCCCAACAAATAAATAAATGTAATAAAATTTTTAAAAATTCTATCTGGAAAGGAAAGGAAATCCTATCCTTCTGAAATGTGAGCAATTCCCAAGTTCTGTCTCTTGCCTAGTGGCTCCAGCATCTTGTAGAGCGGCTCAATGCAGGGGTCATGACTGTTGAAAGGACATGGGATGTAAGATCCCCAAGGGTATGTCCCTTCACTACCACTATCAAGAATCCCCAGAATTTACTGTGGAAGAGTCAGAAAGGGTCCAAGGAATGGGATCTGTCCCAAACAAAGTCCTCTTCAGCTCTGGATTGGGGCACAAGCTACAGTCAGGGTATGGGGCTAGGGGACCGTTTATGTGGTAGAGTTCCATTCCAGGCACGTGCAAACAAGACTGCTCACAACATCTGCATATGTTTGTAACTCAGAGCTCACACCTGCTTTCCTGGGGTGGAGCAGGGAGAGCAGATGCTGATGTGGTCCTTGCATAGCAACATATAGCTCTGTGGGCTGCAGAGTAGAGATTCTTTTTTGTTACAAATGTGTCCTGGGTATGGTCAGGAGAGAAATGACAGACACAGGCCCCTGAGATCACAGCAACCCTGCTGGCCCCGCTCTGCCACCCACCTGGGAAAATCGTCCTCCCCAGGGCTCTGTGAATGTGGCCATAGGACAGGCACTTCTGGTACTGACCTAAGTGGTCCTAGGTAAGCCTAGCACAGTGTAGCAGTGGGTTCTGCCCTCCCCGTGCCCCAGGACACAGTGAACTGAGGGATGAGAAGGGCGCCTGAGAGCTCCCATTCTTTCACAAACCCTCTGAGGCTGGCCGAAGGTATCACATCCCCTTGGCAGATAGAGAAAATGTGACTTGCATCAAGAAGCAACCAGAGTAGGCCTGGTGCCAGGATCGTTTTCTGAAGCCTTACCCTGGGTACTTTGCCTAGTCATAACCTGTCACATTCCTGATCACTCACGGTCAGATTCAGGCCTACAGGAGCTACAGGTGAGTTCTAGTGGAGTCGTGGGTGGCCTGGCAGTCTGCCAGTAAGGAAACTGGGGGAGTGACACACTTGGGACATTCTGCTCTCCCTTCCTGGGCTGCGGGAGCCTTGAGGGATTTATAGGGAAACTGTGGACTTGTGGGTGTTTGGATGGTCTGGAGAGAATGGGATGACTGCCTGCTTAGGACAGCTGTCACCTCCTCATGGAGTCCTCGTGACACTTGCTATGATCCAGGCCTTTGGCCTTAAAGGAAAGTTCTGTTCCTCTCTGGGTGCCTGTTCCTCCTGACTCTCCAGGTTAGAGGAAATTGGATCAGTAGCATGGGGCGATCACTTGGCAGCCTGATAACAGTGGTTTTTATTGCTGTTGCCAACACCAAGAACAGTCAACAGCAGGATGAAAGGAGAAAGAGAACAGACCCCAGCTTTGCTCTCAGGTCATTCCGCCCTGGGGGGCTCCAGGACTTGTCTTCTCTGGGTCCCGTTGTCCCCAGGCCCTCAGATCCACCAGCCTTCTCCTGCCCCTTGCTGCTGCTTTTGGCTCATTCTCCCAGGGTCCTTTGCTTGCAGAGGCCCTCTTGTCAAGGATGTCTGCCCTGCCTTCTTCCACTTCAAATCCACTTCACCTCCTCAAAGCCGCTTCACATCCCCTCTTCAGGGCCCGTCCTGACCTCGTGGTCCATACTGCATTTGGAGCACTGCCAGCACATCTATGCTGGCTGAGTTGCACTGTGCCCTTCCCAGCTATACCTTAAACTCCTCAAGGACAGCCACACACAGTGTCTCTAGTCATCTCCTTGGCTCCAAGCACTGGTCAGGGCTTGGTGGAGACATGCACTTGATGGTTGAGGAAAGGTTGCACGGGAAGAAGCCTGAGGTTTCGCTGAGCTGGCACAGTCAGCCTTAACTCCTTGAGAGTGGGTGGTGGGAAGGCAGCCCCTACCAGGGACTCTGGGCCCTGCTCTCTGTACTTCATGGGATTATCCCACTCAAGAGCTGTCCCCACCAGCAAGTGTCTTTGTCAGTGAAACTGGATGGGTTCTCGAAAAGACAGTGGGGCCACTGCCTTTGCTCCCTCCCCTCTCTGCTCTGCCTTCCACAGGTCACCATGGGCTAAGGTGCAGCTATTAATACGAACAGCACAGCTCACCATTTGGAAAGAAAGGATGTTTCCAATCCAAGAAGAGAAGAGAACTAACTATTGCTGGGATTCTAAAAATAGGGCAGCTTGGATGCAGGCAGGGGTAGGTAAATGGCAGAAGAAACCTCTGTCTGGCCCCTGGAAGAGCCCAAGCCTCAGGGCACCTTCCATCTACTAATAATCCCTAAGACCCTGGGATCTGGAGAAGCCTGTCATTGTCACCCTAGAGAAAACAATGTACATTGAGTTCTTGCTATGGCATTGGGGTGAGACATACTGGATGTGTGGGGCCAGGGGTTATGATTTGGGATCTGTATGGTCTGGAAGTTGACGCTCCAAGTTTACGCAGCTATGAAAGGCAGGATGTGGATTTGAGCCTACATCATTGCTTTGAAGTCCATGCTGGCTCCAGGCTCTATCCTTTAAATCTGCATGTTGCTACCTAGATGAGGAAAGTGAGCAGGAACTGCAGGACAGCCTGTCTCCTAGAATCAATCCACAGGCTGGCATGAGTACCATAACCCCACACTTACCATGTTGTTCCAGATGCTGACAGCGAGTGTGGTGGAATCTTGGGGTGAGGACCTCTTCTGGAAGAGACAAGGTAAGAAAGGAGTCTGTGTGCTCCAAGGATGTGATGGCCACCACATAACCAATGCTGTACCAGTGTGGGGCTGCGGGGCCCTGACCCATCCTGCTCTGTCCCCCAACCCCTCCTCAACAATGACAAAACATGCAAGAGTGCTCTCTGGGGTTAGAGTTTAGAGGTCAGGCCTGGCAGGAACAGGGGAAATATCTGCCTGCTCTGTATTGTTACGGGGTCTCTAAAACTGAACTCAGAGCAGGAGCAGGAGGCAGAGAGGTGACTCAGCTGCGGTCTGAGAAGGGTGGGAAGTGGGGCATGAGGAGTAGTGCTCTTCCTCCTTCTGAACCACAGCTTTAAACATAAAGTAAGCTTGGAGGTAGCACATTGACCCTAACATATTGGAGCTGGGAGCTAGGGGGGATAACTGTTCTCAGACACAGCCCTGAAGACTCAGAGGCTATAGAAACCCCAGTGCTATATGATCTAGGTGATCCCTTGCCCATTGGGGAGGGAGATGGGGAGGGAGATGAAAACTCTTCTCCGACCAGGGATGGATGTAGACTAGCATGCAAAGGGAAAAGTGAGAGCCCGTGCCCTTGGAAACGCCATCCTCAACATCACAGCTAAGAGGTACTCAGGGCTTCCTAAGCCCCAGTCACTGAATTCTTCCCATGTTTTGGCTCATAGGATCCTGACAGCCATCCTAAATGGATGGAATCTTAATAACAAATCCTCATTTTGCAGATGTGAAATCAAGGCATGGAGAAGTTAAACCACGTGTCTGAGGTTACATAGTTGGCCCATTCCAGAAGCAAGATGTTAAGTCAGGCCATCTGCCCTGGGTCCCTTTTCTACACTTTAGAGCTGCCCTGCCTCTAAATTCCTGCCTTGTGGGGCTATGCAACCCCATGAGGAAACTGTATAAGAAAGGATAAGAGAATATTGTGTATTGTTCCCTGAGACTATACATCTGGTGTTCAGAAGATCTAGACCAAACTGGGACTTCTGTGGAGGAGAGGGTAGGAGAAGAAAATGGAAGAATGGGGTAAGGGCAGGTTTGTGGCCCAGGCTCCTCATTATTCACTATCCACACCCTTGATATCTTGAAGAGCTCACTCACTGAGGGTAGTGCTATATCATAGAAGAAAGGCTGGAAAACCACTGTGAAGGACTCGTGATTGTTGAACTTGCTGGAGGCCAGGAGACCTTCCCAGGCTTCCTGAAGGGAGAAGAGAGTACATGTTCAAAGCTCAACCCAGCCAGAGATGCTCAGCCTACCATACATGGAATACAATCCCATGCTACTTGGAAGGTCCCCCCTAGCCTCACACTTCTGGACTCTTGACTGAAACTGAGTTCTAACATGGCTTGAAGCCCTAGTATCAGGGAATGGCAGTTCTGGACTCTTGACTGAAACTGAGTTCTAACATGGCTTGAAGCCCTAGTATCAGGGAATGGCAGACCGAGAACTGGAGCCTTATTCTCTGGAAGTCTGAGATGTACAAGGTAGCTCTGTGTGCGACTGAGGTACCATGTTCTCCTTGGGGGTTGGATCTTTAGAGACACATGCCATTAGCCCGTCAACAGTTACAGTTATTTCCAATTAGTGTCAACTCTATTAAAAATTTTCTTAAACATAAATCATGTTAACACATGTCAATAGATGCTGTGTTTTGAGCTGTTTGCCAATAAGAACCGTGGCTTTCATTGAGCCCTCTACACTAGTCTACTAAGTCTACTTAGTCTCTTTGGTCATTGAGCCCTCTACACTAGTCTACTAAGTCTACTTAGTCTCTTTGGTCAACTAGAACATACAGCTTCAGGAGCCCTGGATTGCCTCTGGGTTAAGACACAGGCATGACCTGGATGAAACAAGCACAGCAGTCACTCATGTGGTGTCACAAGCAACAATGAGGACACAAAGCATATCAGAACGAATGGGCAAAGCTCTTCACTGTTGACCAGAGGGTCAGTAGAGTCCTGATTCCCACCCATTCTGTGGCCCCCGAATTCTATAAAATGGTATGGAAGTACCTCTCTCAGCTCCTAGCAGTACTGAATTCAGCTGAAGTCCCACTAGAGCAAACTTCACTCGCTGTCCTCCACTGTCCCTGTCTTCCACATGCCCACGACCCCATGGGCCATCAGCCCAGGTTCCCACCTGGACTCACCTGATAGGACCACTGCATGACAGCCTCAGACAGCTTTGAGGTCTCCCCTGAGCAACTGCAGAGCTCTGATGCAGGGCTGCAGATCAAAATGAGATGGAAGTGACTGAGCTGGTCGGGTAGGGGTATCTGGGGGGTCTTCAGCAGGGAGAGGGACTGAGAGTTGCTTAGTGATGGAGATATGCAACTGAGAAGTTCTTTCTTTCCCTTACGTCTCCTGGATACATGCCCTGACTTTTTCCATATGAACTTCTTTTTTCAGGTTCAAATTAAAGATTCTTAAGCTAAACCAAGAAGTTTAAAGCCTATGATAATTTTCAGAAATGCATGGGAATTAAGTTCTGAGACATTAAAATACATTCAGGCTACTTTTGTTTTCTAATTTCCAGAAGTAGTATTTCTTGATTTAGAGATCTTTAGCCCAACTTACGTGACTTTTGTTTTGTTTTGTGTGAGACAGTGTCTCATGTTGCTCAGGTTCGCATTCAACTCACTGTGGTTAGCATTGCACTTTTGGCCCTCCTGCCTCTACCTCTCAAGCACTGGGATTGTAGGTGTATACCACCGCATCTGGTTTTATGCAGTGCTGGAGACTGAACCCAGGGCCTTGTGCGTGCTAGGCAAGTACTCTATCAACTGTGTTTTAAACTCTCAAATCAGGGGCTGGAAAGATAGCTCAGTGGTCAAGAGCACTGACTGCTCTTGCAGAGGACCCGGGTTCGATTCCCAGCACCCACGTGGCAGCTATGAACCATCCTTAACTCCACTTCCAGGGGAATCCAAAGCTCTCTTCTGACATCTGTGGCATTGGACGACACATGTGCACTCACATACATGCAGGCAATACACTCATACACATAAAATAAAGATAATAAATAAAATATTTAAGCTCTCAAGTCATTTGGGATAAGTGGGGGTGCTTAGCACTATATTAACCAAACTAAATATTTCATCCTTTAACTTGGTTCCCCAAACAAGACCCTCCCACCCCAACTCTGCAACTCACTTGTGTGTGAGCTACACAGCTATTGAGCTCTACATCTTCCATGCTTGGGTCTCCCCAAGGGCTCAATAGATGTGGACAGCCTGTGCAGTCCTGGAATGTGGAAGCCACCCAGCAGATGCTGGTCTTGTTTTTATGTCCCTATTTTTTTACCTGAACCCAGTCCCCTGATGAGACATGGTTGTAACCTCAGGGAGCTCCACCAGGTTCACAAATGCTCTGGGGACCTAGGAGGACAAAAAGGACAGGGAAGTGAGCATTTGCCAAGCTGCCATGTTGGCCTCAGGCTTTCTGGAACCCTTTGTGGGTTTACTTTGGGGGCCAAGCACCCCATAGAGCATTTGGATGAGACTGGTCCAAGCTGTCACTCCTCTGGCTCTTCATCCTAGAAATGCACCTTTTGCCTCCCTTATGGTGGTCAATGGGGCCCAGATCCTTGGGGATGTATGTGCAAAGCACAGGGGAAGGTAAAAGCCATAGCACGGTACTCAGGCTCTCAGAACCTGCAGCTTCCAGAGAGGCCCTGGCTTCTTCAGGCTAGACTCAGTCAGAGAGCAACTACAGTGCCACTGAGTCCTCTGGGAATAGCCAAACCCCTCTCAGAAACAGCCTTCTCATCTTAGAGGGTGAAAAGACAGGGTCCTCAGAGACTTCTCTGCCTAACGATCTTGTTCTTCCAATAGGAGTCCATTTTCTTCACTCTGGCAATTGCTATTGAGAGTCAAATTGGAGGTACCACAATGGTGCTTGCCCCTCATTACAGTTCCAAGTCTCCAGTGACTGAGGAGCCACAGCCTTACCTCTTGGTGCAAGTAGTTCAGAATCTCCACCAACTTGTCCATGTGCTTTATCAAGTATCTTTTCTGTGAAAAAAGAACTGGAGTGAGCAAGGGTGGTAACAGGGAGGGCACTGGTCCAGGAGCCCAGACTCAGGCTGGGCCCACAGAGACCATAGGCAAAGATTTGATGGAGACCCTGCTTCCCAACAAGTGTGGAATCCCCAGAGCTGCTCCATTTTGGTTCCTGAGTTTGGTCCATTCTGTTTCTCCAACCTATCCCACACCAGAAGTTCCAGAACAGGCAAGGACAAACCCAAGGTTTGAATATAATCAGAAATACTTCTGTAGCACTGACATGCCCAGTAAAGTATGGGAGACTTACTCCCAAGCACTGAAGGAGTTTCTTGGGAGTTGCTTTTATCTGAAGAAAATCAAATATGAAGAGGGAACACAACCAGTCCTGAATTTCAGGACCCAGACAGGCCTCAAAGTTTCCACAGGGGCACCAGTAAGAAAACTCAGTTGGTAAAGGCACCAGCATAAGCCTGATGACCCAAGTTCAGTCCCCAGGATCTGTAGATTGTCCTTTGACCTACACACACACACACACACACACACACACACACACACACACACAGGGGGGGGGGAGAGAAAGACACACACACACACACACACACACACACACACACACAAAGGGGGGGGAGAGAAAGAGAGAAAGAGAGAGTAAATAATTAAATAAGCAAAAATGTAATTTAAAAAGATGGATCCATGAGATGGTTCAGAGAGTACTTGCTGCCAAGCCTGATGACCCATGGTCAAACCCTGGACCCACATGGTGAAAGGAATGAGCTGACTCCCTTAAGTTGCTCTTTGACCTCCATTCAGATGCTGTGTCACACGTGTGTGCATGCACACATGCATGTATAAACATATGTGCACACACAATAAAATGTAATAAAATATTTTGAAAAAAGAAACTTCCACAGGGCACAGACTGAACATCCCTTTTCTGAGAAGCTTGGGACCAGGAGTGTTTCCGATTTTGGAGTTTTTCAGATTTGGAAATATTTGCATATATTTTAAAATCAATTGAGCAATCATCATCCCCAAATCTCAAATCTGAAATGCTCAAAAGGTTTTGAAGTTTGGATTTTAGGTCGGAAATGTTCAAATTGGACTATTTGCCAACTTCCTCCTCCAGCTTCCACTCCCCAACCCCCTGCCCCCACCACATTTGCCTTGAATAAGAGAGAGGGTCCTAGAGAAAGGGTTGAGAGGGCCCTATCACCCAAGTATAAATCCATCTGCCTCCCACCCAGCACGCACACCCTTCTTCTCTTCGCATGTAATAAAAATAAGCCACCCGAGAGCACCTCTAAATCTGACCCCCAGTTACCAATTCAATGTGAGAAAGAAATACAATTTACAGGAAGACAAGCTCAGCTGGCTGCAAATGGCTGTCCCCTGAAGCGACTTGGCTCAGCAAAGTAAGGACGATCTAGAAGTATGCTGTTACCTGGGGGGACAGGGGCAGGACTCCAGAGACAGCTGCCAATCACAAGATGGGGATCAGAGGGAGGGTAGCCAGCTACTGGCAGCACAGGAGGAAATGCCCTATGTCTTGGTTGTCTGTCTTGTCCCTGCTATGGTTGAGAGATTGGCCCCTGGGAGGCCAGTCCAGCCAGTCTGTTCCTATGACTGGTTATAAAACCTTCTACCTAGAGTCTTTGGAAGCTAGTGTAAAACATTACATTTTCCCTCCTGAAGACCCCTTGGAACTGGGTCCAGAAACTTCTCTGTTGCTGGTCTATACCACATTTGGGTCCAGAAACTTCTCTGTTGCTGGTCTATTCCACATTTGGGACATCTACCTTCCATAGGAGACCTGGAGGAGCTCAGTTGTCCCGAGTGTGACTCTTCTTTCAGAAACCCCTGGATCAAGTGTGTGTTTGTAGCTATTGAGGGAAATATTTACATTGGGGCTCACCCAGCACCCCAGGCTCCAAATGGCTGTCACCTGGCTGACTAACTGTCCTTGTTTCTTGGTGGGAGATTTGATGCTCCTCTAGACAGCCCTTCTGCTATAAAGTCACATGTAACACAAACTTTGAATACTTCACCTTTTGCCTCAAGATTCAGAATTCCTATTTATTAAACTCAAACCTGAGCCAAGACTTAACTTCTTCTAATAAAATCCTTGGAATTTATTCCAAAGATAATGACTGAGTTAGAAAATGGCGGCACGGTCTGGTTTCTTCAATCGTACCACCATTGCATCAGCCGAATTGCTGACAAGTGCTTCCAGCGGCATTTGCAATGGATAAAGTGTATGTTCTCTTGCCATGCCACCATGTTTCCTTAATTTTTTCTCTTCTGACTGTTCTTTTTAATCTACTCATTAGTAAAAGTAAGCTTTAGAAAGCAACAAGTAAACACCAAGGCTCCTTGAGCACCCTGTGTCACTGCTGTGAGCCAGGTCACTATTCACCATTGAGGAGGAAACACTGCTACTACACAGAGGACAGTTCCTAATTGTACATTAGGACTTTGAAGAAAACCCTAATGAACAAATGGGGACATGAGCCCTTGTCTTTTCCTCTCTAAAGGGGTTCAAGATTCTCAGGAGAAGAGAATCCCAGGTCCTAGGGTCAGACAGTAGTTTAACATCTCATTTTAATGATAAAATCCTTTTTTCATGCCAGCTGGACATGACATGGGTAAGGTAGAGCTGCTCTGTGAGGTCACATGGGGACCCACCTGTCCAGCTTTGCCCTCGGTGGCACCTCCAGTAGCCCTTGAAACTCTGTAGAGCACATATGAACAACTACTGAGGGAGAAATTTCATCCAAGATGTGCTCTAAGGAATAAAAATGGAGAGTAAAAACTTCTGCATTGGGAATGCCCCATATTCAAGAATGCTTGAAGGGATAGCCGGGCATGGTGGTGCATGTCTTTAATCCCAGCAGAAGTGGACATAGAGGCAGGTGGCTCTCTATGAGATGGAGGCCAGCCTGGTCTGCATAGTGAGTTCCAGGCCAGCTGGGGGCCACAGAGAGACCCTGTCTCAAAAAGAAAAGAAAAAAAATGAAGGAAATAAAAGAATGCTTGAAAGGGTAAATACATTAAAGACAATAGATTATATAGAATTGATTGGCTGCAAATTAGATTGCATAGAAGAAATCATGAATGAGTGTAAGCATCCATGAAGGTACATTCATCATGAAAGAAACCAAATGCCAACATGAACAAGCTCATCACAAATGTAATAGCCTGTCCTTGCATGTCAGATGATGAATTAACACAAGGGTATAATAATGTGTGAATGGATAAAGGATGAGTGAATCTATAGAAGAATGCAGCAATTCCTAAATGCACTCTTGGGAATTCCTAAACTTCTTGAATATGTCAACTAAATACGTCAATCCTTGGATGTATAATTCATGAGTTAATTATGAGAGAACAGACAGCAGGTAAATTTCACTCGGCACAAGCAAGAATAGAAACCTTCATCATCTACATAGGACACACTTAGGAGATCTGAAGGAACACTGGGCAATAAGAGCTGGTCAGGGGATCCCACATCACTAAGCATGGGGAGCTTTGACAGATGCCCAGGAGTTCTTGAGAATATGCAGGATTTGAAAGAAGACAAGATGATATACATGAAGGGGAGGGACACATCAAGAAACTTTGCCCACGCCTGAGCTATGACCTGACAGAGGCCCTGGGAGCTAGGCTCAGCAGTCAGGGAAGTGGGCAAATTATGGGTCTGCTGTAAATGGCAGAGACAGCTTGGTGACAGCTGGACTTCAAATTCTTTCTAAATAGTCTGTGTCATTCATATCATTATAGGCTAGGTTTCCCAGCAACCCCTTACACTTTCAACTAATTAAACCTGGTTGATCTTCAATAAAGACATGTCACTATCTGTGATATAGTCACCAACACAAATATTAACAAAGCTATGCTTCATGTCCTGTTCCCAGGAAAGCCAACAAGCCAGAAAGGAAAGCCCACAGTTTGTTTGCCTTAGATAAACAGCAGCCTTCTTACTTCAACTGGAATTCATGGGCTTGGGCTTATGCCTGAATATACATCCTACCTATTCAGTACTCACATGAAGTCAGAATTAAGAGAGGCAAAATGATTCTTAACTAAGTAGGAAGCTGATTTTCCACCATTGTAAAGATATCGCTGACTCAGCTTATCTATGCTTTAATTTATTTTCCTGATATGAGGGATTGGTAAGTGAAAACCACCTGTCCTTAATAGGATCACATTAAATTTAAAATCTCCTGTACAGCAAAGGAAACAACAGAGTAGGAAAAAAAAACCCTACAAACAAGAGAAAATCTTGGGCAGCTATTTATCTCACAGGGGATTAATATCCAGAATATATAAAGAACTCACAAAATGTAACACCAAAAGAACAAATAATCTAATCAATAAACAGTCAAATGAACTGAACACAGTTCTCAAAAGAAGTTTAAATGGTCATTAAATGCATGAAAAAATTCAATATCCTTAGTCAACATGCAAATGGAGATCAAAAGGATAATGAGATTTCACCTCACCCCATTCAGAATGACTATGATCAAGAACACAAACAACAACTAAGGCTGGAGAGGTTGAGGGGAAAAGGGAATCCTTATTCGTGACTGCTGACAGTGTGAATTAGTCCAATCACTATGGAAACCAGTAGGGAAGTTCCTCAAAAAACTCCAAACAGAACTAGAGCATGAACCAGCTGTACTTCTCCTGAGAATCAAGATTCTGCGCTATCTATACATTCATGCTTATCATGGCACTGTTCGCAAGAATCAAGCCGTAAAACCAGCCTGGGTACCCATCACAGATGAACAGATTATGTGATATATATACATATATATACACAATGGAATATTATTGATCCATAAAGAAGAATGAAATTGTATCATTTGCAAGAAAGTGGATAGAATGAGAGGTCATTGGGTGAAGCAAAATAAACCAGACTCAGAGAGACAAATACACATTTTTTTCTCCTATGTGGAATCTAGATTTATAAGAAAAAGGCATGAAAACAGAAGGAAGACTTTTCTGACAAGGGAAGGGGGTAGAAAAGGGGGGAAGGAGAGTAATGACGTGGAGGGATATGATCTAAATCCACTATATACATGTATGAAAATATTATGAGACCTATTAGTTTGAACAATGAATATAAAATTAAAAATTTTTATAACTTTAAAATAACAAAAATTAAAAACAACTTGGCTCTTGGGATGGCTATAAATGTACAATATTAGGCATAAAATTATGAAAGTATTTAATACCACCCCAAAGACAAAAATGGTCAAGATGGTCAGTTTTATACTATGTGTATTTTCCCACACTGAAAATATTGAAGGGAAGAAGCAAAGGCAATACTTTTGTCCGTGTCTGTGTTTTTGAGCATCCATCCATCCATCCATCCATCCATCCATCCATCCATCCTATTCACTCATCCACCTGTCCTAATTCTAAATCAGGGGGCCTCAGCCCTAGCTCAGTAGTCAGTGATCAGAAAGGTTTAGGCCACTCTCTTCCACACCAGTATTTGCAATCCTCACCCACCACCCTGCACCTTACCTGTTGAGCAGAGGGACACAGGTAACACTGGCTTGCGTTATTGAAAAACACATTGATGAGTTTCCAGTCATGCTGAAAGTCAAGTTGCTGAAGCATAACATAGAAAAGAAACAGTGGTGAGACTTTAGGCCAGAAGGATGACCTTCTCTGTCTTTCAATTTCATATACCCACTACCTTAAAATCATTTTTGGGAATAGAAGGTTTGAGACAGGGTCTTACTATATAGTCTCAGCTGGCCTGGAACTCACTATGTAGACCGGGCTGGCCTTGAACTCACAGAGACCCACCTGCCTCTGCCTCCCGAGTGCTGGGATTATAGACATGAGCCACCATACTTGGCTTGGATGTGTTTAATTTTTTTTTTTTTGTCAAAAGAAGTACTCAGGAATATAATGTGGAATAACTGTTCTAGAAGGCAATTTAGGTCTTTATGGTTTAAGGGGCTTATCTTAAATTTTTTAATACTATAGATTGAACCTAAGGTCTTGTCTATACTAAGCAAGTACTTTCCCACTGAGCCATCGCACCACCCTGCAGTCTTTAAAAGTTTTTTAATTTTGAAACAGAATTTTACTAATTGTCCAGGTTGACCTTAAACTCATTTTGTAACCAGGCAGGTTTTGAACTTGTGATCTTCCTGCCACAGTCTCTCAAGTAGCTATGATTACAGGCATATAACCACCAGGCCCTGTTCTCAATATGTACTTTAAGGAAATAAGGATGCATGAAAGAGTTAGGTACAATGATGCCTTATTCATAGGAATGAAAACTTGGAAGCAGCATAAATATCTAAAATAATGTGTTATACTGCAAGCTACAGAACATTCATATAATGTAACACTATGTGGTTATTAAAATGATAATGGGGGCTGGGCATGGTGCTGTTCACCCTTAATCCCAGCACTCAGGAGGCAGAGGCAGGCAGATCTTTGTGGGACTGAGGCCAGCCTGTTCTAATGAGTGAGTCCCAGAGGAGCTGGGGCTACAGGGAAACCTTGTCTTATAAAACCAAAAAAGTTGGGGCTAGAGAGATGGCTCAGCAGTTAAGAGCACTGGCTGCTCCTGTAGAGGACCCAGGTTCGGTTTCCAGCACCCACATAGCAGTTAACAATTGTCTGTAACTCCAGTTCCAGGGGAGCCAACGCCCTCTTCTAACCCCAGTGGGCATTCTTGCACAGGTGTACTTACATACAAGCAGGCAAAACACTCATACACATAAAATAAAAATAAATAAAAATATTTTAAAGTCCCTCCAAATAAAACTAAACAAATTTATAATGGGAACTGTAATTAACATCACTAGAAATATTGACAAAAGTAGTTTATAAAAATCATCTACATCCAGTAACACTCTGTTTTATTTATGCAGATATACACACTTAGAAAAAATGTGCAAGGAAATATGTACAAAGTTATTAGAAGCACTATCTTTTAGTACTAGGCTTGAGGATGGTTTTAATATTATTTTGTTTTCTAATTTTTCTTGAGTGAAAGTATTACTCATGTAACAAACAAAATTGTTTTCTAAGGAAGCATTGTGTAGCTGGGGAATACTGAATTCTGCACCTTAGAGTTTAGCTGTAACTGGATGTGTGAATTGGAACTTGTCACTTGACTTCTTGGAACTGCAATTTCTTCAGCTTTAAAATTACAGGGTGGGATTCAGGACCTCCCAGCTGTTATACAGAACAATTTCATTGTTGTTGTTATTATTATTGTGATGGCTAACTATTGCCAAATTGACTGATTAAAAAAAATTTTTTTTGAGACAAGGTCTCACTCTGTATCCCAGATTGGCCTCAAACTTGCTAGGATTTCTCCTCCCTTAGCCTCCTGAGAGCCACCATGCCTGACTTTGACTAGATTTAGAATCACCTAAGATACATACCTTTCTGTTTGTGAGGGCAGTTTCAGAGGGGTTTGTGGAGGGAAGACCCACTCTAAACTTGGGTAGTACCATCCAATGGGCTAGGAGCCCAGACTGAATGAGAGAGAAAGGAGGAGAAAGCCTGGGGAATACCAGCATTCAGCAATTTGCTTCCTGGCTGAGGCTATAAAGTGACCAGCTGCCTCAGGAGCCCACTGCCTTCCCTGCCATGATGGACTGTATCCCCTTAAACAATGAGACAAAATGAGTTCTTCCTCCCTAAGTTGTTTCTTGTCAGGTATTTGGTCAAAGCCAAGAAAAGGTAACTAATACAGTTATTTATTTCAGAAACTCTGGGCTCCTCCTGCTTGGAAGAAAGAAAGCGCTCATGGCCTAGTTCCTGCATTGGCAGCCATCCCATATGACCTGGAATAGCTACTGCTTCAACTCCTGGATTCTCTAGAAATGCACAGCTGGCAGAGACAGTGGCTTCCCTTGGTTATAGAAGGTCAGGCTCAGTGCAGGGTTAGAGTCAACTTGTTCAAAGCTTGTCTTGTCAGACGCTTGCCAATAAGGGCGACACAAAAGATCAGAGGATGCTTATTACAAACTTATCTAAATTATTTGTTGGGCAAAAAGCATGTGAGCTGGTAGGAGAGTAGACAGTAAAGCATACAGCAATATGTCACAGAGGCCTCTATCCTAAAAAGTAAAATATATTAATGTGGTAGTGGGTATATGCATGTGCATGTAGAGGCCAGAGGTTGATGTTGGGTATCTTTCTCAACCACTCTCTACCTTTTTTACTTAATTTATTTTTATTTTATGTGTATGCATTTTGCCTGCATGTATGTAAGTGCATCCATGTCATGCAATACCCCCAGAGGCCAGAAGATGGCATTGGATCCCCCTGGAAGTGGAGTTTTGGATGGTTGTTAGCCTCCATGTGGGTGCTGAGAACTGAGCCTGGGTCTTCTGCAAGAGCAGCCAGTGCTCTTTACATCTGAGCCATCTCTCCAGCTCCCACTTTATTGTTTGAGACAGGTTCTCTTACTGAACCTGGAGCTCCTAGATTTGGCTAGACTAAGCTGACCAGTGAACCCCAGGGATCCTCCTGTCTCTTCCTCCTCAGTGCTTGGATTATAGTCCCATACCATGCCTCGCTTCTACGTGGGTGCTTGGGATTGAACTCGGGTCTTCCTGTTTGCACAGAAAGCACTTTTCTTATGGAGTGGTCTTCCAGCCCCTAATGTGGTAATTATTAATAAGGGCAATCATCCCAGAAATGCCAATGAGAGCTCCTGGCCAGGCACATTCAGTACACCACTCAGTCCTCTAATGCCCTCTGAAGCAGGCTCTCTCATTAATCGCCCTTTCCTTAAATAGGAAAACTAAAGCTAAGCAAGGTTGAGTGTCCTACCCACACGGCTACAGGCAGAAAGTACAGGAATCACATTCAAATTAATCTCTCTCTGGAACTCAACCACTTCCCAACGTGAGAGGTCATTTAGCCCATCGGCTGACTTTCTCAGTTTCCACACAGAAAACCATTCTAAATATAGAGGAGCCAGTTCTTTTCTCTAGTCACCTTCAGAGTATTACAGTGGAAGTGACATTTTCAGAGGCCAGGCCACATGACAAGATGGAACCAGGGCCATTGTCACTCTGTGTGTTTGGTCTAATTACCTTGCAGCAAACACAGGCAGCCTAACCACACCAGAGTTAGAAAGACTTACCGGGTTTTCTTTTAAGTTTCTCACCAAATCTTTAGCCTGAATCAACAAGTCTCTGCAGAGGCAAGGGGGTAGTAAGAACAATCAGTAAGATGTGTTGTATTTTTGAGGGTCAGGAAGTTGACCCCTCACCCCAGCACAGTTCCCAATTTCTGAGCCCAAGGCTACCTTGAAGCACTTGAACTTATGAGAGACAGACTTGACCTGATGACGAGGCAGACTAAAATCAGCAGAGGATAGGTATTTTGGCATTGTCTTAATGAAGACTTCTATTTTAAATCTCTTTGACCTTTGCCAGTATTCCCAAATCCTCATGCCTGTATGTCCAAGGCCAGCAGGAATATACAACCCCAGAGAGAGACCAGAAGGCAACTTACTCAGCAGCACTGGAGGCTACATCACTCCTCTCAGGAGAGCACGTGGCCATCAGAACAGAAGGGTTGAAATGTCTGATGATGTCTGAAAGAGCTTAAGAGAGAGCCAGGGGTCACCTCTAGAGATGACCGATCCTTAGGGTGACAAGGCACAGCCATCACACTTTGCCTTGGGCTCTAAGGTCACCCCTGCGCCTTTGGAAGCAAAGGGAGCTAAAAATGAGCCTCTGCCTGGCAGGCCAGGCCTAAGAATTTTCTTGTTCGCTCCTGGGGAAACTGAGATAGAGAAATCAGGCAAGCTGTCTAAGGTCTCCCAGCTGACAGAGCTGCTGGGATTAGAACCAGAACTCTGGGCTGCCTGCCAGTCCCCCTTGCTCCTCATGAGTGACAGTAGGGCGGGAAAGCTCTGGGGAACACAGAGAACATGCCCCTGAGCTGACAGCCAGAGGACCGCTAAAAATAGTGCTGTCAGGAGTGCTCAAGTTGTGTCTTGCTCCTGAGAGAGAAGAGGGCAGAGCAGGGAGACAGTGTTGTGGAGGGAAATGCCTCTTCCTCCACTTCCCTTTCTTTTTGCCTCCATCCAAAAGAACCCCCTGGCTTATGCAAGTAGGATCCAGAAGACAGCTGGAGAGGAGCTGTCTGTGAGGGAGCCGACTCTGCAGGCAGACAGAGAAAGGAGAGCAGGGCTGGAGTCCAGCTGGTTGTTTGCCTTTGTGACCTCAGGTGACCTATGTGATTCAGCTTTGCCATCCTTAACCCAGACTCACAAGCCTGGCTTTCTTTCTCTAAATTTTATTTATTATTTTATGTGTATGAGTGTATTGCCTGCATGTGTGTAAGTACACCTATATCGTGCAATGCCCACAGAGGTCAGAAGTGGGTGTCAGATCCTTTGAAACTGGAGTTATGGATGGTTGTTAGCTGCCATGTGGGTGCTGGGAATCGAACCCAGGTCCTCTGAAAGAGCAGTCAATGGTCTTAATCACTGAGCTATCGCTATAGCCCTGAACCCAGCTTCCTTACCTGTGACAAGCTTGCAGGAGCCCATGCCCATGTGTGGAGAATGAAAAGCTCTAAGCCCAGTTAAAGATGATAATGATGGCATGCATGTGTGCATGGGGACCACTTCATCCCTTATGTGAAGACAGTTGCTATGGGCCAATGACAACACACAACTATCTGGTAAAAAGTCCCAGAGAGGACTACTTTCCAGATTAAAAGTATTTGTATCAGATTGCTTCTTTGTGAGCAAACTTGACCTTAGAACTTTTCACATAAATTTCCCTGTTACTTTGTCTCATCTGCTGAGTTTCTGGTCTGGAGTTTATTTACTTCTTCTGTCCAGGTTCCACGGTGCTAGGGGACAGGACAAAGGGCAAGGCTGTGGGGCTAGATGCCCTGGGTTCCCAGGGACCCTGCCACTTATTGAACATGTAACCTTGGAAAAGTCCGTTTATCTTCCCAACATTCCATTTTTCCATCAGCAAAATAGCCCCATGATGGCAAGAGTGTCTGCTCCTTGCTACCCGGGTCACTCTCAGCTTCACAAGTCCTGCCTCTGAGGGCTTCAGGTACAAGATTCGCCCTCCCCGCTACCTCTGCTGCCCTCTGCACAGTTGGGATTCCTGATGTAAAGAGGGTCCATTAGACATGGCAGAGTGAGAAGGAGAAGCGGGTGAAGCAACAGAGCAGAACTGGTGGCTTCAGGGTCTAAAGAACACACCCTCTTCCCAGGCATTCTTCAACTGGCTGCTTCATTTCTTTTCTCCTACCACTTGAAAGTAAATGAGACCAGGCCTAAGTACAGCTGGACAGCCACCGAGTCAGTGAACACTTCGACTCTTGCCTAGGAGACCTTCCTACCACACTAACTAACCCTTGATATACCCTCACCTGTTAATCAGGTGACTGGAGAGCTAGACAGCTGGCCTCAACATTCCCTTTTGGATCACAAATGAAGGAGGAACAAGATTCTTATCTCTCCTTTCTAAGAGCCTAACATCTCATAGGTCCTTTGTGTCAATTCCCAGGCTGGCCTGACAGGGCACCAACTACCTCCTGACTCATCACTGTAGCAGGGTGTTGGCTCTGTCTGGTATCTGCATGACCAACTCATTTTATTATTCTGGATTTTCAGTCAAAGCCTGTCACCCTTGCTCCTGGCTTATAAGCAACAGGCAAAGGACATGCTAGCTAATCAGGCTAGTTAGTGGCTTTACGGAACTTAGGGTTTTAGGATGATTTCATAGAGTCCCAAGGGTTCTCTGGTATTAAATGAAGAAAGTCAGGTTGCAGATAGCGTTATTCATTACACGTCTGTATGTAGAAAGGCCAGAGTGTTAATTGCAATTATCTCTGAATTGTGGATTACAATTTGCTTTTATTTTCTTCACTTTATTTTTCTGATCCAAGGATACATTTATAGGAAAAGTGAGGAGGGAGAGATTATAAAATGAAGTTTTACTTTATCAATAAATGGGCTGGAGGAGGGAACGAGACCAAAATGCTGTAAGGCCAGCCCTGGGGTTCTGGGGGAGCAGGAGCCCATGAGACTGTGGTCCAGCCACCTCAGTCCCCTTCTCAGGTCCTTTAATCCTAACCCATACGTTTCTCACAATCTACCCGGGGCCTCTGATCTTCTATTCCCTGGCTCCCTTATCTGTTTACCTAGCATTCCTTCCCCTTTCCCAGGCTCTGGTGATAAAGTGACCAACAAAAGTACATATTCTTTATTAACAAAGTTGCTGCTGTGTGACAGAGATGGGGGACAATTTGGAATCTGGCCTCAAAAGCCAAGACTCACCTGTCATCACTCCCATACATGTCTGCTGGGCTTTGTTCTCAGTTCTGCAAGGAGAAGCGAGCATGTGAGGGTGAGACTGGGCTTGTCACCCAGCACAGCCCTTCCCTCCCCTACTCTGGGTTATTTAATGATAGACATTGGCCCTACTTTGCTCTGCTAATAGTGAGAGGGACATCTCAAAAGTCCAGGGAGGAGACTAAAAGGGGTAATAGCTACCTCTGGACCCTCCTCCCCAGCTCTTTAGTCTTGCCCAGCCAAAGTTGAAGACGACACTGAGTACAGTGGAAAATGACTCTGGTCCAAACCCTGGTGGTGACAGGATGCAGGAATTTCATTGTTTTGTTTCCTCTCACTTCCCTCTCATTCACCTAGAGGAGCCACCAGGAGTCTGGGAATGCTGGGCTGGTTCTGGTCACTGCTCTGTCCCCAAACCTTGAGCAAAGCCTCTAAACTCTCTGGTCCTCAGTCTTCTTATCAATCAAGCAAGGAGTTAAAGGACTGTGAGATGCCTCTGTTTGCTCTATGATCCAGGATGAGTACCTTGTAGGTTTCTCCACGGTGACCATGCCGGAGTCTGGAGGCTGGAAGAGATACTTGGTATGAGCAAGCTAGTCAGCGGAGGCCAGCAAACAGCCTCCCTGTGATCCAGTGCTGCCTGTCAGAACACCCCCTTCTCAGGTGACAGGGAAGCTCTGAGTCCACAGAAGAACAGAGTCTACCTTGCTCATTTTACAGGAAGACCCCGTCCCCCACTTCCTCAGAACTTGTCTGCCAGTTTAACAACAGAATGACTGAGCCATCGCCTCAGAGGATAGATTCAAATACATTATAAGTCATATTATATTCTATATAGAATCAAAAGGATTTTTTTGGTCTTTTTGAGACAAGGTCTTCCTGTAGCCCCAGCTGACCTGGAACTAACTATGTAGATGAAGCTGGCCTCAAACTCACAGAGATTTGCCTGCCTCTGCCTCCCCAGTATGCCACCATGCCCAGCTCCAAAAGGTTATTTTAAGGTAGCTCTCTACAATCTAAGGTCGACTTTGTTGTCATCTCCTCGACTAGAATGTACGTGCCATCGAAGGCAGGTATTCCTTAGTCCTGGAATACTGCTGATATGTTATAAACACTCAGTGAATGTTTATTGAATGAATAGATGTTTTCCTAATGAATAAAGCAAGTTTCTGGTTTTCCCCTTAAAAAAATACTGGGCAACTCAGGGCACTCCCTATTGGTGAAGCCCTGGTCTTAGTGCTGAAGATAAGGCAGTGGCACCCAACCCTGGGGAGGGGATCGAGAACTTTCCAGGGATGCTTGGACTTGTGCTCAAGACATAGAACATGCTGAGCAAATATTAACTATTTCCAGTATTTTCATATTTCTTACACACACACACACACACACACACACACACACACACCTTCTGTCAAAATTCTGAGAAGACAGGATGCCAGGTGTAGTGGTGACAAGTAGACAGTTATGCCCTCACTGTCTTCACCCAGCCTGCTTTAAAGAGCACAGCTGTCCTAGCCACCAGCCCCAACCTGACCAGGCCATGGAACTGGGTCATATCTCTAGAACCCTCTAGGGAGTGCAAGCTGATCATGAAATCGCTCTCCCTGGGGACTGAGTCCTTCACTGTCAGTAACCTTCCAGAGAGAGAGGTGACAAGCTAAACAAATATCACCCGAAGATGCAAGTCAGGGGTTGTGAGCAGGGCTTCCGGTTAGGCAGGCAGTCAGGGGAGCAGACCTCCTGGGCTATGCAAGCGGGACAGTCCATGCCAGATCAGAGGGGCCACTGTCTGCCAGCTTGAGCTGATGATTGCCTGAGGGGCAGGGAACCTATGACTGCCAGATCTCATATTTCAACAGACACTGGAAATACAAATATTTGAAATCTCCTGATTTCAATGTTGGCAGTTGACTTAAAGACATAGTATATTTTTTAAGACCACACATTTAAGCTTCTGGTAGTTAGCTGACAGACAGCATATCTTGCCTTCAGAGGGAAGGTTTAGGTAAAGAGAAGAGAGGGGAAGGAAGGGAGAACAAAAGGACAGTGCCAGGAGGTAGAGGGAGCTCAGGGGAGTCTCAGAGAGGGGTCATGAAACCGCCTAGGTCTCCAGGTTCCCTGCTGCCTGCCTTTTTCTTTCTTCAATTCTCATTTGCTTAATGCCTGGCAGGTACTATAACCTCAGGGACCTGAGCTAAATAAGACACAGGCTGTGCCCCCAAAGAATTCAGTAGAGTGGATTGCAACCTCTCAATTCTTGGCATGGAAATATCTTGTGTGTGAAAAGTGTGAAAAACAAAAATACTAAATTTACAGATAGAATATGACAATACGATACTATTTAGATTTTATGTGTCACATGTCCCTAGGCACTAATTTGCTATATATTGGATTCTATGTGCTTGTGTATGTGCACATATGTGTAAGGTGAGGCTGAGGAATAAGATGTTAATGGATCTTCTGTCTTTTTTTTTACACTGTGTATCTGGATTTGAATAGAACATATAGGCATTATTTGAAAATAAATTTTATGATTATTTGCATATCTTATGTAAAATTTTCTGTGAGAAAATAAAGATCTAAAGCAATTAAACAAGTGTTATGAAGAATCCAAAATAAACAAGTATGTGTCCCTAGATAGGACTCCTATATTAAACCTCACCCATTCAGGACTCAGGGACCATTGCAGAAGAGGGGGGCAGAAAGACCACAAGATCCAGGGGTGGTGAAAGACCATAGGAAACCAGAGTTTTCCAGGTGGCTGGTAAGTAACTTGCTCATATGAACTTACAGCAATGGTGACAGCACGCACAAGACCCATGCAAACTCAAACCAGACAAAAGCCCAGCATAGAAGTGGTAAAATAGGCAGGAGGACCCAACCTTAGTTGAGGAACTATTGGCAACTGATCACTGCTGGGTGAGGGAGAGTTAGTCTTTAAGAGAGTGACTCCAAGTAGGCTGACCAGGCTCCAGTGGATGAACTCACACTGAGGGACTTGTGGGGACACAAAGCCCTAACATACAGGACAGAATGCATGAAATTCAGTGGGGAGTACAGGAGGGTGATGATAGGAGAGGCGGTCTAAATAGGACTAAGATGTAGTGTATGAAATACACAAAAATTCATTAAAAATATATGTTGAAAAATACAAAAAAATTAAGCAAATATATCTTGGTTTTAGAGAGCTCCAGAAACTCAAAAGCAAAAGTGTCAACATTAATGACTTTTTAAGTTCACTGTCTTCTATTCTTTTTGCCTGCTTGTCTTCTTAACACACAAACCCATCTAAGTGGTCATCAGAGCAGAGAGAAAAGGGTGGCCTGCAAGGAGTTGTGCCTTCAAATCTGATCCTGACTGTAGCTGGGCATGGCTATGGTCTGATGATGATTAGAAGGTTGGAGGCCATCCTGGCTTGTGCTTCATTCTATCCCTGTAGGCCCCAACTGTCACCCCGGAAGGAGGGGAAGAAGTGACAGACAGCAGGTCAGTTTTGAGCCATTCATTCATGAACAGGAACGCTCATCTCAGAGCAAGATTGAAAAGTGCAAGCCGGTGAGAGATTTGATAGAAATCTGCCTCAACAGAGATTTTGCTGCCTCAAGTGGGAGGATCAGAATCCTCCAGAAAGTGGGTCACACCTGCAGGAACCTGGAGTGGTTGCCGTCAGTGCGTACTGACACAGGCTCAGCAAAGATCAGCTGTCATCTGGCACAGGAAATCTTTGCTCATTGATTTCCATCTCCCCTTTCTCATCATTTCTGTGGTGAGCTTCCTTTCCTCCATCAACACAGACAGCTGCGTGGGGAAGCTTTGCTGGCCAGATGTCTCCAGGCCCAAGGCCATTTCCTAAAGTTAAGTCTATCTCTACACCTTTCTTCTGGCCTCAATTCTCCACTTCATGTCATCCACAGTTCTCAGTGAGTAGGGAAAGTTCTAGATCTGGGCAGTTTCACACATTGTTCATGGAGAGGTAATATTCATAAATATAGCAAGCCTGAGTGTTTCAGGTAATCTCAGAGAGGTTAGTTTTTCAAGATGAGGGCTGGGGGGACAGGACTAGGGTCTCTGGAACACTACCTTGCTGGTACTTCTATGGAGGGAGGGGTTGGGCTAGGCCTAGAAGAAGGGGCTACAGTTGAGAGAACACAGGCCAGAGTGAGGGCAGGAAGGGTGCAGGAAGGGAGGTAGGAAGAGCCTGGGGGAGAGGGAAATCCTCCTGGCTCAGGTCTGAGGGGGATAGGTGGGATGGGGAAGGTAGGACTGATTAGGGCATATAAAGTTGTCATCTGCCCTGTAGCCTTCTTCTCCCAGATAAGCCTTTCCCTGTTCACCCTTTTCTTCCTTGCGTGGCTATATAAAACATGCCACTCAGAATTTATAAACAAGAAGCCCACAAAACATACTGAATACCACTGACCATTAGAAAAATGAAAATGAAAATCACAATAGAAAATAAGTGTTGAGAATATAAAGAAACTGCACTGTTGATGGGAAATGTAAAATTGTGCAGCCATTATCAAAAACAGCACAGCAGTTCCTCAAAAAAGTAAAGTTTTGGGTTTTTTTTTTTGAGACCAAATCTCACTGTACATTTCAGCCTGGTCTGAAATTCACTAGGTAACTCAGGCCTCAAACTTACTTAGAAAACTGATGCAGGATCAAAGCATTGGGCTTGCAGGTATGTACTATCACATTTAGTTTCCTCCAAAACATTAGAGTTATCATATAATTTAATAATTCTCTTTCTGTGTATACTTATGAAAGAATGGGAAGCAGGATCTTGAAAAGATTATTAGTACATCAATATTTATAGCAGTATTGACAATAATCAAAAGATGGATACAACCTAATACCCATGGATGAATAAACAAAATATGGTATATCCATCTGTTCTAGCTTGTTTCTCCATTACTATGACAAAATACTCTGACCAATACCAACCTGGGGAGGAAAGGGTTTATTCAGCCTATATCTCTTGGGTCATAGTTCATCAGGGAGCCCAAGTTAGGAACTTCAGGGCAGGAACCTGGAGGCAAGAGCTGGAGCACAGGCCATGGAGGAATGCTGCTTACTGACTTGCTCCCCTGGCCCCTGCTCAGCTTGCTTTCTTATACAACACAGGCCCACCTACCCAGGGGTGTCACCACAGTGGGCTGGACCCTCCCACATCACTCAATAATCAAGAAGATGCCCCACCAACATGGCCACAGGCTAGTCCAATGGAGGCAATTCCCCAATTGAGGGCCCTCAACCCAGGTATGTCAAGTTGACACTAAAGCTATGCAGCACACCATCCATACAATGGAATAGTATTCATCTTTACTAAGGAGTCACAGGAAAACATGATGTTACAAAAAGAAGCTATTTACACAAAGACAAATGCTGTATGATTTCACAGAAGTAAGGTCTCTAGTCAAACTCATAGAAACAAAAAGTGGAATGGTGGTTGCTGGGGGCTGGAAAAACACAAGGTGAGTTGTTGTTTAATGGGTGGAGAGTTTCAGTTTTGCAAGAATGCTCTGGAGACTGGTTATATAATGCAAATATACTTTATACTACCATACTAAACACTTAAAATTATTAAAATGGAAGCTTTGATCTGCATATGAAAGAGAAAATGTGATATTTGTCTTTCTGAGCCTGGGTTACCTCACTTAATATTTTCTAATTCCATCGATCTTCCTGTAAATTTCAGAAGGTCACTTTTCTTTGTGGCTGAATAAAATTCCCTTGCATATATGTACCACATTTTTGTTATCAATCCATCTGTTGATAGACATCTAGGCTGGACCATTCATTTCCTTGCTCTTGTGGAGCAAGCTGCAATAAACATGGATGTGCTATGTGAGTGTAGGATGAAGTATCCTAGGAGACACTAGGAGAGTGTGGGGAGCACTCAGAAAAGCAGAAAGGGGAAAAGGAGGCTTTAGAGAAGGAGATGGGGAGGGCAACAGAACACAAGAGATATGAAAGAGGAAGAGAAAATTGCCAGGGGAAGAAATAGTTCAGTGAGGAAGCGGGGGATGGAGGTAGCGGAGGGATGGGAGATTTCTTCTATACTGAATGTAGACATTTTTCTTGTCACTATTTCCTGTATTTACATTGTATTAGATCTTATAAATTTCAAGTGGTTAAGATTGTAAATTATATGTATTTACCATAATTATGAACTTTTAAAGAAAACATACACTGATTTTAATTTCCCTTTTCCTATAAATACAAAGCTTAAAAGATTGATTTACAAATTTTGTGCATGGAAGTCAGTATGGAGGCTAAAAACTGATCTTTATGATCTAGTGGTATAACTCTTGGGTATTTACCCAAAGGACTCCAAGTCAAGATATCATGGAAATACTTACATAGCAATATTTATTGTAGTACTATTTCCAACAGCTAAATTATGAAACCAACTTAGGTATCCAAAAATAGAGGAATATATATATATATACACACACACATATTCTTTTTTCAGCCATAAATAATGGAATCATGCTGTTTGAAGGAGATGGATGCATCTGGAGATAATCATATTAAATGATTAAGCCAACCTTAGAGAGATAAATGTCATATGTTTTCTCTCATCTGTGGTCCCTAAATTTTATAGAAAGACATTAAATCATGTGTATATGACATAAAGGTAGACCTGAAACTGTCTAGGGGAACAAAGGGGACTAATGGAGGGGAAGAGGCAAGAGAAGGAGATAAGATACAGGAGGAGATTGTGCTCAGCACACAAGAGACAGGAAGGAATTGTGCTCAGCACACAACACATACTTGTACAAAAACTTGATAAAATTTTAAAACATAACAATGTTCTTTATAAATAGAAAAAGTGGGCAATCCTACCAATGGCGTTAATGTATTAATGAGAAACTCCACAAGTTCCCCATCCTGAGGAAAATGTAGGCATTCATTTGAGTGTTTAATAAATTAGGCCCTCCTGCATTTTAGGATGCTTTTGACTCATACAAGACTCGCTATCAAATGGAACACTTTTTGAGATAGGGTCTCATAGCCCAGGCTGGCCTTTAACTCAATATGTAGCTGAGGATGACCTTGAACTTCTGGTCCTTCTACCTCCAATTCCAAAGTGCTGGGATTACAGGCATGTACCACTACATCTGACCCAAAATGGAACATTTTGCTGGGGTATCAGTTCATTTGTGGTGTCACTGGTACCAAATGGTTCCCTAAGCCAAGAATTTTAAATACTTACAATTCCCAGGCTGCCAATGGCTGCTACGAGTTTAATGTCAGAAGGTCTCAAAGAGTGGACTGTGAAGACAAGAACCCATTGGCAAGATCAGATCTATAGTCACATGATGTAGACAAAGAACGCCCTATGGGGGTACATAGAGCAGACCCACATCCTGCAGCCCCAGCATAGCTACTGCGGTCAGACCTGTTGGAAAATCCAAGACCCTGCATTCATTGGGAACCCCAGGACCCATACTAGCAAGAGGCTTCCTCCCTTTGGGGGCTACACTGTTTACCTGGGCTTGAGCTCATAACCCCATGGAAGGTCAGGCATTATGTTCCACTCTCACTTGGCCATCTGCCTGCCTCCTTCTCACCCTTCTCGACCCCATGACTCTGCATTTCTGAGCTAGCATTAATAACAGGGCAGGAGACTAAAATTAGTCACCTGAGGACCCAATGGCTTACTGTAGCTTGAGAACTGCCAGAGAATAGCACTCAAAGTTTGTGACCCCACAAAAAACATTGTATGCAAATTATATGCAAATGACATACAAGGAGTCTCCTTGACTCACGAGTGACCAGTACTTTCAGAAGTTAAGTCCCCTGACAGTAAAACAATAGAACCTAGGTATGATGGTGCAACCCAGGTACACTGGTGGCTGCAAGTTCAAGGCCAGCCTGGGCATCAGGTTGCTTCTTTTTTACAATTTTTAATTTTTTTTAAGAAAACAGGCTAAAACAAGGATCTCTAGATAGGCTGACTAGACTCAGTGGATGGCCAAGCACTGGGGGATGGCTGGGGGCACTGACAACATAGTGGACAGTAACAGGGATGACAGAGTATATGGGTTCCAGTGGGAAGGAGAGCTATGGGAGGGTGCCACTTGGGATGTGGGTATATAGATGAATAAGATTGTTTGGGATGTTCTGTATGAAATACATACACACATTAAATAAATAAATAATAAATAAATAAATAAATAAATACAAATAAATAATAAAGTTATATAAAAAATGAGGGCCTGGAGAAACATTACCACTGAAATCTACCTGATGACTTTATATCCATACTCAGGTGCCAAGGATCCAAGAGTAACCGACTATGACTAGTAATAATCAGATATATAGAGATTAGAGACACACGTGCAAACATCTAAGTATTAGTTGCATTAAAATGAGTTTTTCTGTATGAAACAGTATATTTTAAAATGAAATGAAGATCTTTTAAAAGGTTAAAACTTCATTCAATTTTATGTCATATAGGGTTTATACTGAGTACAATATTGTATAACTGTATTAATTCAACTGTAAACCTAAAAATTTACAGCCAATTTTGAAAGAGATGCAGCTTAGCTCTGGAAATTGTTATTGAATATGTCAAAGCTGTTGTAATGAAATGCTTCTTCTAATTATGTGGTTATTAAGTAATTGAAAAAAAAAGAAAATGGGTTTATTAAGTGTACTGCAAGAGTCAGTGGACTGAGGGGCAGTAACAAGAATTCCACCTGTGGTCACCCAGTCTTATGTCTTTTTTTTTCCCACTTATGTGTATGTTGTGGGTATCTGTGTGAGGGTATGTGGAGGTAGGTGCAGGTACTCTTAGAGGGCAGAAAAAAAATAGAACACTTGGGGCTGAAGTTACGGGCAGTTGTGGGTGCAAGAGCAGTATGAATTCTAACCTGCTGAGCCATCTCTATAGCCCTGAGTCTTAAGTCTTACAAATAAAAAAAACACACATAGAAAATCTAAAAAGGAGATGTGACATGGGTGCACTTATATACATGTAGGCAGTACATTCAAACATAAAATAAAAATAATAAATGAAAAAATTTAACTGTAAACCTCCAAAAGATGCCATTTTCAAAGAACAGTAAGAAAAATGAACTTAAGTGGAAACTGTAATCAAATCAGTACAACAGAATATATCTAAAGCCATTAAACCCAGCCAGCCACTTAACATGTAAAGCTAGAGCTCATAGCATCCAGGCATTAGGCAAACCTGGCTCATAGTAGGGGGAAATAGCTAGAGTGGCCACTGTGGCTACATGGCAGAAACGAAGTCCCTCAATGGAATCCAGACTCGAGAGGTGACCATCATGTCAATTTCATCCCTAAGTGGTGTGTTGGACTCTGTCCCTCCACAGAAATGACTGAAGAGGAAATAGAGGGAGAATGAAGGGCTGAAGGAGAACAGAATGACCAAAAGGAGAAGAGAAGTAGGGGTGGAGGCTCTGCTACCCCCCGTAGGAGATGTGGACCTTCCCTGCTCATGGCCAGCTGGTACGTACCTGAATTAGAAGGCATATTCAATACTAGTTTCTTTGGTTTGCACAGGAATGATAAATTCTTCAGAGCCTGCAACTGAAATCAAACATCCAAAATATCAACTGCCTGATATGGAAGCATCGCAGGTTCAAATGCTTGGTGTAGAAACCACCCTGTAGTTGGTCTGTACAGTCTCAAAATCCAGAAGCAGCACCCACCCACGGTCATAGTCTCCTAACCTCCATTTCTAGTTGCTCTGGTGAAAGGGGACATATGTCTCTTGAGGAGGGTTTTAGCAGGTGGCATGTACATATGTCTTGGAATGCTAGTGTAGAGAAGGAAGGCACAGGATGAAGGAGAATTAAAAATGAACTCGGGATGACAAAGCGTTCTGAAGATGGATAGTGGTAGTTACACATCAGTAAATGTTCTTAATGCCACTGAAATATGAGCTCAAATACAGTCAAAATATCAACTTTTGTTAGGGATTTTTTTTTACCCCAATTAAAAAAAATAATTGAGGGACTTAGTATATTGATTCTAAAAATAAAAAAGTTAATTTAATGCCGCATTTTTTAAATTATCTACTTTTCCTCTTTTATTTCCACTAAGCATACAAGGAAAAGGATGAGGCATTGTAGATATTTGCTTCTGAAAACTGGGCAACTTTAAACCAGAGGACTCCTGTGTTTCCTCTAAATTGGAGTGTCCTGAGCCCAGATGGATCACAGAGAACAGAGGAGGGGGAGGGTGTTCAAGTTGGGCCTCCTCAGACTGGTGCTAGGAATCCAGAGCCACTTCTGCATCTGAGAATAACATGGAAACCTTTGGGAAATTGAGAGTGCTAGGGGAAAGATTCTAGCAGGGGAAGCAGGCAGCACATAAAGTACTTTACCACATCTTATAGCCATAAGCCAATTTCTCTTGAATTACTGATTACAGTAAGAGATACTCAGTATTACTCTCATCTCTTATCTTGTGGATGTTCTGGGAAGACCTCACCCCAGATGCCTTTGGATAACTTACATCTGCTTCAAGGTTCACAGTGATAACACACCCATTTATAACGCTCGTGGGATACTTCTGGGAACCACCCACTCAGTCTGCAAGGATGATGAGCCCCAAATTCCAGGAGCCCTGGTTATCCTCTGCCAGGAAGCCCAGCTGGCCCGGGGAAGCAGCTCCTCTGGTGCATGCCATCAAACCCTCAAGGAGGAGCCACCTGCCTACTCAGAAGCTTGGATTTGCTCACTAGAAAGGAGCCCACCTTCCCCACACCACCACATACACATTCCATCAAGGCCAAACCCTTACCTCTGGCCATGTCTGACTTGCCAATGTGTTCTCTCCAGGAAGGCTATTGATTTGGGTAGGCCCTAAAAAGTAAATAAAAATAAATACATAAATAAGCAAAAATAGTTTAGTTTTGTGTATGTACATATATTCACGTAGGTGTGCTCGTGTGTGTGTGTGTGTGTGTGTGTGTGTGTGTGTGTGTGTGTATACACGTGTGTCTAGGCCAAAGATCAACGTCAGGTGTCTTCTCCAATCACTCTCCATCTTATTTTTTGAGACAGGGTCTCTTACTGAACCTAGAACTCATTGATTTCACTAGACTGGCTGCCAGCAAGTCCCTGGGATCCTCCTGTTGCCACCTCTGCAACGCTGGGGTTACAAATGTGTCATCAAGCTAAGATTTTTTTTTAATGTGGGTTCTGGGAATCAAACTCGGGTCCTTATGGACTGAGCCACCTCCCATCAAAATTTAGATTTTTTTTTTTAAAGTTAGAATTAACTATGACACAAATTTGTACCCTTCATGGCCTTTCTCCTGGCCCTATTATCTATGTGGCCAGCTTAGTAATGTCCTTTATATTAGAAAAGCCCAGCTTCCATTCCTCTAGCTGCCATGGCTTGGGACAATGCTTCCACTAATATAGCCCATTAGGGCAGAATCCCTAGGTTGGGGTGGGAAGGTGTTGTCTGAGAGGGGCAGTGGCCACCCTATATTCTGCCTAGACACATTAGAGTACAATGCCTTATTGCTTCCATGCCAAGGAGCAGAGAACCCTTCAGGATCATAATGCTGGACAGACAGCTGTCATTGTTTGACCCTAAAACAGAGCAGTGAAGATACAGGACATGTTAGAAAATGGTCTGAAAGGTCGTGAGCTTGTAAAGAGCTCATCAAGGAATTCTCAACAGCCATGCCTGTGCTAAGTACCTGGGCATAGCTGTCAAGGAGTCTTGCTGAGGCAAGGGGAAGAAGAGATAGGCCTGAAGACCACAAAGGAAAGCCCCAGTCTAGTTTGCTTTTGGTTAACCTTTTAAAAGTCTTACTTTCCTATTTAAACATTTTTAAAATTTTATTTATTTTTATTTTATGCATATGAGTGTTTTGCCTGTATACACGCAAGTACACCCATGTACAAAGCCCACAGAGGCCAGAAGAGGGTGTCAGATCCTCTGGAACTGAAGTTATGGATGGTTGTTAGCCATCATATGGGTGCTGGGAATTGAGCCTGGATCCTCTGCAAGAGTAGTCAGTGCTCTTAACTACTGAGCCGTCTCTCCAGCCCCTTACTTTATTATTTTTAATTGAAAGTATAACTTTCCTTTTTAAAAATACAATTTACATATGACAAACTAGACTCATTTTAAGTGTGTAAGTTAAGTTTTCCCATAAAACACTGAATTTAAGCAAATAGTAAAATCAGCAGTAATCTTGCCAGGCGTGGTGGCACATGCGTTTTTAATCCCAGCAGAGGCAGAGGCAGGTGGATCTCTGAGTTCAAGGCCAGCCTGGTCTACTAAGTGAGTTCCAGGCCAGCTGGGTTTACAGGGAGACCCTGTCTCAAAAAGACAAAAAAAAAAAAAATCAGCAGTGATCTAAATAAAGCAAAAATAGATAAATGAATCCCCACAATGCTTCCACTCACTGTCAGATGTGATTCCCCTTGGCTGCGTTCTTGTGACCACAACCAGATATGTCTGTCACTCAGCTGTGATCAGTGTGCACATCATTTGTAACTTGCAACCCTTTTAATATTTTATCCAGAGCATTTTTCTTATTGAAACCCAACCTTGCTGTTTCTTTCAACAGCTACACCATGCATTTCTATCCTGATACTGTATCCTGGATTGGATCCTTTGCTTCCTTTGACTTTTCCTCTCCCAGGTCTCTGCCCATTGTGCACCCATGTCATTGAAGTGACCCCAAAGAGCCCCTAAACAGCAGCAGACCCTGTTAAAGGCAAACCTGGCCTAGGGCACAGAGCTTGATTTCTTTTCCTCTTCAGCCTTCTTCTAAGCTTCACTTTGGGACCCCCAAAATAACTTCTAGAGAGCTGCATGAAGCAGTGTGCTCATTTCAAGTTCCTGCCCACTGAGACACCAGGCTTTCACAAGATATGGTGACCATCTCCAGATCTCATCGACTTTGCTGTAATTCCCAGAAGCCAGTTTTCTGAACAGAAAGAGCTCCATGATGGGAAGACAACAAGGTGTGGACAAGTGTGGGATGCTGGGAAAGGCTGGAACATGGAGTCTATGGCTGGAGGGTAGAGGAGGAGTGAGCAGGGAAAACAGACACAGGTGGAAGCTAGGTTGCAAAGCCACAAATGCCAGGCTAGCCCATGGGGAACTGTGAGCCATGATCAGTCAGTGACAAGATGAGTTTAAGATGTCCTCACTCCAGGAGCACTGGGGGAGATGAGTTAGGAGGTCAGAGAGTTGAGACCATCCAGGTCTCAAATAGAAATGTAAATGGTAGCCATTGCTGCAATATATGAGGCACATGTATAAAAGAATTCATTTACTCCTTATGCCTTTTATGAGATAAATGTCATTATCTCACCTTACAGACAGCAGAGTGAGGCCCAGAAATGTTAAGCAACATTAAAAATGATGTTTTCTGGTGATGGAAGGACTCAAAAGAGGCAACCTAGCACACTTAGCTATTTGGTCATGTTTGGACGTAACAAACTAGGTGTGAGTCACGTGCCCATGATCAAGACCAGGTCTGACCAATGCTTTCTATAAAGGCCAGATAGTACATCTTTTGGGTTGTGCAGAATGTAAGGTCACTTCTCTGCCATAATCATTTAATTCTATTCACAGTTCACTATTTTGAAAACAGCCACAGACAATATAGAAATGTATTAACTTCACGTACAGAGACTACAGTTTGATTATACATAATGGTCAGGTATCATACTTTTATTTTTATTTCTACAGCCACATAAAGCCCTAGAAATCTTTTTGGATACTAGAAACTAATTCTAAAGTTTACATGAAGAAGAAAAAGATCTCAAACAGCCAACACAGTATTGAGAACCAATACAATTTGATGTCAAAACTTACTATAGAGCAGTAATCAAGACAGTGTGGTATTGGTAAAAGAATAGACAGATCAATGGAATAGGACAGATAGGCCCAGACAAATATACTCAACCAATCTTTGACAAAGAAACAAAGGCAATACAATAGAAAAAAAGGCAGTCTTTTCAAAAATGATGTTGGAATATCTGGCTATTATGATAAAATAATTCTAAAAATGTAAAAAAATCACTTTTGGCTCTCAAGTTATACAAAATCAGACAGAAGGCTGAATTTGGCCTATGGCCAGAGTTTGCCAAGTAATCTTTGATCAAGACCGATACAAAAAAGAAGTCATCCAGGTGAAATAGGAGGGTGGTTCTCTAGTGATTAGCAATAGCCTTATGGGGGGTGTGGGGGGAGTGGTAGAACTGAAAGAGTATTAAAGAAGGTGAGAAAGAAGGGAGAAGGACATAGAAGAGACAGCACCCCAAAATATAAATGGTCAGATATGTTTAAACACCGTGGGGAAGGGCAGAAATAAGAAACTGAGGGCTTAGGAAAACTCTTCAGTATCTGCAGGGGTGGGTATTGGCAGAACTGGTCTTCCCATGTAGCTCCCTAACCAGGACCAGCCCAGGGCACATAGGCTGCCCCTTTGTGGAATAGCTGCAGACATCCAAACAAGAACAGGTTGCCCTGAATGCTGATCCAACCAGAGGCTGGGGATTTCAGACAGAGGTTAAGAGCTTAGACACCCT